CCCCAAAACCCCAAAACCCCAAAACCCCAGGGTGGAAGTTATTAGTTGAATTCAGTTAAATAGACTATATTGCCTCCAAAATTTACTTAAGCGTAAGTTAATTCTTAAAAGTAATAATTTTTTATAATGGACAGTTTTGATTCAGTCGGTCAATACCATCAGGACACAGAGTCCAAGTGGAGAGATACTCTTGAAGAACAGAGTCTGCCTTTTGTCAACTACCACTCGTCGCTCTTGGAGTTCACGAAGCAGCAGATGGACAAAGACAAGGATCGGGAATTCAAGAATACTGACAACACCATTTGCAAGTCATTTGCAGACGTGACCAGTCCTGTGTTCAATGTGGGCAAGCTGGTGTACAACATGAGTCTCAAGAAGTGGTATAAAGTCATTGATCTCAAAGTTGACGAATCGAACCGTCCAATCTGGGCAAGTTTGGTCACCAGAAATAGTTCAGAAATCATCGAAATTTCTGATGATGAGGACTTTGATCAGTTCACAAATAATTTGGATATTTATGTTAATATCTACTCAGACACCGGCAAAAGTTCTTTGGTCGAAGCAAGTCTCAAGATATACGAGAAGATTGGAGTTGGACTTGACCAAGCCTTTGAGGCTGTTGGACTTTCAGCAAGTTCATATAAGTTCTTCTTCAACAAGAGAGAAGTTCTTAAAGATGAGTCTCTTAGTGGTATCCCAGATATACACTGTGGGGATTGTATTATTGCTTGTCAAGGTGTTGGTAAAGTCTATAAGTTTTCGAGGTTCAAAAATGACGTTAAGAACTCTTCTTGGTCCAATTGTGGAAGGTACGCAGATGCAGTTGTGTTTATTCCAACTCAGAACATTAAGCTTTATGGCTTTAGCACATATGCTTCTAAGGACCAGCCCCAGTACGAAATGAAGTATGAAATCACTATCGACGGAACTGAGGTTGAGAAAGAGACTGTCACTGCCTCAGAATGGGAGGAAGAAATTTTTTACAGACACAAACTCAATGACTCGTATCAGGTGTCTTGTGGGCAGAAGATTCAGATAACTGTGTGGATAGCTAAGAACTTGGCAAGCTTTGACTATGTAACGACCTACTCAGGCAACCATGGTTCAGATTATGCTTCTATTGAAAATGAACACATGGGCATGTTCAAGATTGAAAATGGCAGCTGCAGCAATAATGGGACATCAGTAACTAGTGGACATTTCCCTGAAATATTTTACTATTTAGAGTAATCCGGTGTCAATCCTCAATCTCAATCTTGGGGTTTTGGGGTTTTGGGGTTTTGGGGTTTTGGGGTTTTGGGGTTTTGGGG